CCCCAAAACCCCAAAACCCCAAAACCCCAAAACCCCAAAACCCCTAAAGATTAATTTATAAATAAAGTCAAAAATGATTATTAAATAATTAAATTTGACAATGAGAAAATTTGTATAAAAGTACCGTTTTTCTTACATTTATTCAAAAAGTAGGTTTGGCACAATCCCGCAATAAAATAGATTTTTTACTACTTAAAGCATTCCTCAATAGTAAAAACAAAGCAATTTATTTGACTCATTCAAAAGAAAACATGATTACCTAAGGATATCATTAATTGAGAAGTGTAATTTCAGGTGCTAAGTAAGTCCATATAAAACTTTGTTGATCTAAAGACATTGTTTATAGTATTGTATGCCTGAGGAGGGAGTTTAATTGTCTCCTGATAGCAAAATAATAACGCGCCAACATGTAATTCAAATTCAAATCTCAAATACTTTTGTAATTTTAATTTCTTTGCTTAGATCCAGAGAATCCTTAAAATATTTACAGGAGTTGGTGTTAATAAGATAAGACTTACTGGAGGAGAAGTAATTTTATCTTTCTTATTCATAGTAGCCATTAGTTAGAAAGGATATTTATGAAATTATTTCTGATATAAGAAGTCATGAATAAATAAAAACTATAGCCATGACAACAAATGGATCTCTACTCTTGAAGAAAATTGATAAACTAAAAGAAGCAGGATTGAATTAGGTGAACATAAGCTTGGATACACTAGTTGAGTCGAAAAACTAGTTTATAACACGTAGAACTGGTGGCTTCTCCTAGACTTTAAAGGTATTTTAAGTCAATTTTATCAAAAAATGTATGCTTATAGTCAATAGATTGAGCTATTGAGATAGGATTTGATTCCGTAAAAGTGAATGTAGTTGTTATGAGAGACTTTAATGATGACGAGTTGTGTGATTTCGTAGAATTTATAAAAGACCGACCTATAGAGGTTAGATTTATAGAATTCATGCCGTTCGATTAAAATGACTGGAGCAAAAAAAAGTTACTTCCATATTTTGAGATACGTAAATAAATTGAAAACAAATATAACTTGATTAGAAATGTTGACTAATCTACATCAACAAGCAAGGTACAAGTTTATTTCTTTACTTTATATCATTAATGATGACATAGACTTTCCGTATTCAAGGTTTCAAAGGAACAGTCGGATTCATTTCTTCAATGAGTGATAACTTTTGCGGTGGGTGCAATAGAATGAGGATAACAGCTGATGGTAATTTAAAAATATGTTTGTTTGATAATCGAGAGATCAATTTAAGAGAAATGATTGACACTGGTTATTCAGATTAGCAGATTTTGGACGAGGTTGAAAATCATCTAATGAAAAAACATTTCTCTCACGGTGGTGTCGATAGTATTTTACAGAGAGAAAACCGGTCTATGATAAGAATAGGTGGATGAATACTTTTTTTGTTATTAACATGGATAAATGAATATAAACAAACTTAAATAATTTTAATACATCTCATTATTTAAAAGTATAAATTAGGAAAGATTAAGTATTCTTAGATATTAATTATCAAATCGCGAAATGGATTCGGAGAATTATTACATTGAGCAGCTTCTTGCCACTGATGATAGTGATTTCAATGAGCAACAGAACCAAAAGAAACTTGCTGATCAAGAAAGTATTAGATAGCCGCCAATTGATGATAGTATATTTCCATCTCAAAATATAAGCCAGCTTGGTGACTACTAAGGATTTTAACAGGTAAAGTCACCACCCTACACTCAAACATAATAAATCAATAAACCAATTGATACTGCTCCACTAAATAGTAAATATTAAATAATTAATCAATTTTTAGCATTCTAAGGATTCACTAATTATAGTGGATTTCCTCAATACAATTAAATGATGATGTCTGTCTAAAATCTATTTTGCTGTGTATGCAAATAATGTAAAACATAAAATATTCAACTTTTAGAAATATTATATGAAGGCACCTACACAAAAATATTTAACCAGTTCATTAATGAAGATGTGAGCATTCACTTAAATTGTTTTGAGCAAATCAAGATAAAGGGTTAGGCTGCCATCTAAAATTTATTACAGAGCATGATACCTAAGTTTAGTATATCGTTTTCAATTCCCAACCATCAGTCATAATAATAAGTGATTGGGCAAGATGTCAAAGCAGAAATTAGATTTATCAATCCTCAAACAATGAACATAATAAATGCTATAATGAATATGAAGTTGCAACCGGCCTATGACGCAGTTAATGGATCATGGTTCTGTCAATAAAGTATTTATAGCTAGTTCCCAGTTCAGACATATTCGATTCTTATCGATCTAACCTTGATTGTTCCAGATTTACCTAGTAAGAAGGTCAGAGGCATGATCAATCTTTATGAGATACTTCCTATGCAATCTCAACCAATTGTTTGCCTTCAGGTGCCATTGTCATCAAGAAATCCAATGTACACCTAGGGCAGCATGACTGATTAATTTTATTTAACATTCAATGTTCAACGTTAAAAGGATGAGTTTCTACTATCAAACATCTAGTTTTAAATTGAGTTTAAAGATTGCAATCTTTTCAGTTAATAGCAGCCATAACCTATTATTTAAAATTAGTCTCATCTTCAAATGCAATATCCCATGTAAATGGATGTGCCGAACATGGATCCAAGACAAGTTCTCAAATTCATGATGTATTGTCAGAATAATTTCCAACCTATTTAGTAGGAAATGATGCAGTCTCCTCCTCATATTCAGCCTTAATTTGAAGTAACACGATTAGAGGAAAATTTTAAATCACTTAGCATTGATAGTTCTCTCAGTAATAGTTAACTTCGCAGTTAAAAATAAAGTTAGGCAGCTTTCCAAGGCGGCAAGTACTATAGTTATGGCTAAAACCACGACCATTCTTAAAGTGCATAACTGGGTAACTCAGGCTTCAAGACTTCTGCTAGTCCATTCTATCCACCAGGCAACCAATACTTAGACTCATCTTCAGCTTATTCAGATAATTCATCTACGATGTCAAGTTCTTAATAATTAGGTTCTAACGATAAGATGTTTGAAAAATATTTCAAACAACAATACAAAAGTGCTGGACTAGAAAAGATCTACTATATGAATCCTAGAGAGTTTGCTATGAAAATGGGTTACTATATAGACGTTGGAAATTAACAGCCGACGAACAATAATTCTAATGTGATGTCTCCAATAGATTCTTAAACAGAATTGAGCTTGTCATCTAAAAGCTAAAACTCAAGGAAAAAGAAGGATTCTTCAAAGAAACTTAGTGCACTGGGATTAAGTTAAAGCTCAAAACAAGGAGAAAAGAAATCTAGTCCTTCTGGCTCTCAGGTATCTTCAAACACTGGAAAGAAAAATAGTAATAGCAAAACTCCTAAGCCTCTCTAATAACAACTGCCAAAGCCTTAATCTACAACTTCAAAGAGCACTGAAATCCCGCATATTAATAATATGCTCGAGTACATAGTATCTTAGAAAGGCTCAAGATTCATGTAATAGTTTGTTCAAAAAGCAAATCTTGAACAAATAGAAAATATAATAAAGAGGATTCAAAATGACCTTGGAAATTTGATGATTGACAAGTATGGAAACTATTTTTGTTAAAATCTGTTGAGAACTGTGAATCCACAAAACAGACTCAAGATTATCAGCTACTTGAGCCCCGAATTTGTAAAGGTCTCTAATCACGATGTAGGAACCCATTCAATTTAAAGACTTCTTGAAGTAGTAACCTAACCAGAAGAGAAGGAGGTTATCTTTAATGCTATTAAAATGGAAATCGAAATGATGGCTCATCATCTCAACGGTAACTATGTCCTAGCTCTAGCACTTTCAATCCTAGAACAGCCTCATATTGAGCATATAGTAGAGGTCTTAATCCCACATATTTACGATCTTAGTGTTAACAAACAAGGCATTTGTATTGTTAATAAGATGATCACTCATACTCAAGTCGCCTCAAATATTCAGAAAATTGTTGAAATATTATCAGAAAATTTGATTCAAATTATTCAGGATCCATTCGGCAATTACGCAATCACTCAAGCCCTCTAGGTAATATTCAACCGTATTTAAGATTATAGACTTGGGACGAGGAGACTTGCAAAGATATACTTAAGAAATTCAAGAAAAATTTCACCTAGCTTGCAATTCAGAACTTCTCTCAACAAGTACTCGAAAAATGTGTTGAAAGAGCAAGCACAGTAAGATATTTCTTCCTAAAATAGTTTTAGACTTTAATCAAAGAATTCTTCGAGATCTTGCAAAGAGAGAACGTGATGAAAAGTATGATGAAGAACAAGCACAGTATCTTTATCGTTTAAAAAATTCATCAAAGACTGACTACCCATGAAGACTTAGAGATGATGAGGACTTTGATTCAAAAGAATATTTGCTACGTCAATGAAAAATTGATCAAGTCAAAAGGTTTGACTGTATTCCAAGCTTTTATTGAGCCTTAATAGGAAATACAATCAAAGACTCCCATCGCCAGCTTACCAAATTCTGGAAACCACAGCAGACAGCCTTCAGGGCAGGGCAGTCCTTCACTACTAAAGTGAGTTACACTTATTAGATACACCAGTTATGACATAATATGAGCTATTATATTCAAAATCAAATCATTTACACTCCTCGTCACTTTTCCATCCTTATTTTAACTATCTAAGCTTAAAATCTTTCATTAATCAATCCTCCCTTAATGTAAAATAAGTCATTATCAATAATAATTCTTAAGTTATAGGTGATGTATGAGAGTTATTTGCCCTTAGACTATGAAAAGACCAAGGGTTATGACACAATCAATTAGTTTAATCCCTGCTCAGAACAAATGAGTAACGTAAATACTCATTCACTTTTTAAGGGATACAAATTTATAAAAACTACTATTAATTTTGATTCAAGATTAATTATTCATGTCAGTTAATCCTCAATAGCTTGAATCCATGATTTAGATCCAATCATTATGGTCGGACAATCTTGTTACTTTTGTCTACTGAGTTCAACGTGAGAATAAAAAGTCTCAAGAGGATTAGTAGCAGACTTCCATTATTAACCACTAAATATATTCGAATATATTTAATAATAGATTATAACTCTTCGTATATTAATTTATAAATCTGATCTGAATTACTAACAAATTCTTATATGTATCTCAAGGGGTTTTGGGGTTTTGGGGTTTTGGGGTTTTGGGG